TCAACAAACAGAGAACTGCATGATATGTTAGAGGACAAGATGTACAAATAGACCAAGATTGGAGAACTCATGGTGTGTGTTTATAGCTAAAGAACAGTAGTTGAGAAAGCAAATTGCCAAGGTTGGAGGCAAGGTAAATAGGTGACATGATTTTGTTGTGGACTTAAAACAAAAAGAAAATAATTGAAAAACACTGAATAGACCTGAAAATGCATAGATTTGATGACCTTTTAAAAATTTCTATAGGAGGAGGAACTGTGGTGGAGGATTAGACAACTGGGAGCCAGGTTAAGAAGTACGTCAGGAGCAGTGAACCTAGGACTGTTCTCTGTAGATAGACATTTAGAAAAGATAACTAGCATGGGCTCATGGTGGAGCTGTGAAGAGGAAATGGAAACAAGGTGGTTGATTAGGTCATGAGGTATATATTTATTCAGGCAGGAGAAAATGAAAACTAGAACTGAGGTCTTACTAGGAGATAAAAATAAAACAGGAGAGAACAAATTTGGGAGATGCATACTTGGCACCTATTTGGACGCTGGGCTGTGAAAGAGGAGAAGCTATAAATGACTCAGAAGTTTAAGTCAATGTAACTGAATGGTGAGTCATGAATTCTATTTCTTCAGATAAAGAACAAAAGAAAAAGACAATGGAAGAGATGTTGAGTTCAATTTTAAACAAAATGAGGTGTGGGCAGAATAACCACATGAAGATGCTGATTAGGCAGCTAGAAAGGTAGGTGTAGAACTCTGAAGAGTTTGTTTATACATATAAACTTTAAAAAATGAAAAATAAATTATTGCTTATTACTTACTATGTCTACTTGTATTTTTAATTATAATACTACTTATAATTAATGCCCATTGCTTCCTGAAAAGAACACTTAGCTCTTCTCCAATTACCTAATGAAATGCATGTCCTATTTGTTAGCATTTTCACTGGGGGCAGGATCAAAAAAATAAAGGAACTTAGTGGCCAATAGTATGCTATATCAAAAATAAATAATTATTGTAATGTTGCTCCATTACTTAAAAACATAGACTTTTTTGTTTTTTGTTTTATTTTTAAGAAACATGGATTTGAATTTAGTTTTTGCCAAGAAAAGTCTTATTTTTAAAATTTTTGAAAAGTAAGAGATGGTGAATATGGTCAAATATCATCTAAGGGTCAACATAACATGAACAAAAAAGCATCCGTGGACTCTGACAACAAACATGCTAGTGGTTACCTTTGTAGAAAAGAATTTAGGAGAAAAGGTCCCTGAGCAGAAGCCTCCTGTTATACACTAAGCTCTAATTTCATCTATCCTTTCATTATGCTCTCTAAGCTCAGGGGAAATTTTTCTTCCTCATAATTAAGCTAATTCTCTTCATCTGTAGTAAGCATCCCATCACTTCCCATATTTGGTGTAGTTCTCTCCTAATTAATATCTCCCTCTGGATTTTCTGCCCCTCCTCTCCCTGGAAAACTCCACCTTATCACAAATAGGATAACAACAAAGAACTCTTATTGGTTCTACCTCCTGGGAGATAATACATGGTCCCCTTTAACAACAAACTCCTGGGGGAAAAAAAGTTTCTGCTCTGCCTCTGCTTATTATGAATAAATTCTCTTGTTAAGTTCTGTAAACTGGTTTCTACCTCCACCACTCTACTGAAAATGTTCTCCAAAAGGTCACAGAATGACAGGCTTTTGTCAGATATAATGGCTTTTTCTCAGCCACCATGTCCCTTGACCTTTCTGAGACATTGTTACTGCTGACTTCTTCAGTTTTTCTGGAAAGTGTTTCACTTTGGGATGCTGATACACTGTATTTCCTGATCTTCCAGGTGACACACTTTCCTTCTCTTCACCAGTCCTATATCTTTCCCAAGAAGCTGCCCTTCATTCCTTTCTCTTCCCCCTCCATGTTCCTTTTTCTAAAAAACAAAAAACAAAAAACCAGCAAACAAACAAAAAACCGTCCTTTCTTTTCTTGGCTTCTACTCGAAAAATCTAAACTCATGGATACAGAACCTAGTCTGAGGATGCAAAGAGAGTCTCCCCAATTTCCAAGTGTCTCTAGAATGTTCCTATGGGGATGTCCCATTAGCATTCATACCACCTGACTTCTCTTTGCAACTTCTGTATTTGATCACTTTCTACATTCTCTCATGCTTGAGACCTTGGAATTGTGTATAGTAATGTCATCCAGCGTCTATTCTTATCCTGTGAAACAGTGGTGACAACTACTAAAGCAGTGATTGCACCATACAGAGAGTATGATTGTGTTTTTATTTTTAAATAATTTATTTATTTAGCTTTAGAGGGGAAGGGAGGGAGAAGGAGAGGGAGAGAAACATCAATGTGTGGTTGCCTCTGGCACATCCCCTGCTGGAGACCTGGCCTACAACCCAGGCATGTGCCCTGACTGGGAATCGAACCAGAGACCCCTTGCTTTGCAGGCTAGCATTCAATCCACTGAGCCACACCAGCCAGGGCTGATTGTGTTTTTAAAGCATATGTATTTATACAACTGGAAGAATATATAACAAGATGATATTAATATTTTAAATGGTTGCTAGGTTCTGTGATTTTAAAAACTTAATTCCTAATAATTCTATGTTGAACATTATTCATGACTATAAATAGTCTTGAAAGTAAACAAAATTTACTTCATCATTGCTTCCCCTCTGTACCAATTTTTCCAACATTTATGTTATAATATTTTATTACTATAAAAGACTCTTGGTTTAAATCCCTGATTCAATATTATTTCTATAGATTTCACCCTGTATGCTATTATAAGACTTATGACACCACCTCTTCCCATTCACGTCCTAAGAATTTAAACTTTTTATTTTGGCCTTATATAAGACCTTTCCCTCGATTTTCAGAACCACACTCACGTGGCCACACACCACTGCTGAAGTCTTGCTATCTTCTGTTCCTTATGTGGCCCCTGGAATCTGTTTTGGTCCCTGGTCTTCTCCTCACAGTCCCTTGCCAGTGTAACACTCATTCCTCCCTCCGGGTTAACTCTTAATGTAGAGCTACTATCTACTGACTTGAACAAAATGAGAAGTATCAGCTCTGTTTCTTATAACAATCCCGCCAGGTAAGTATGATGCTCTTCATTCAACAGAGAAGGAAACCGAAGCTCAGAAACATTAAGTAATTTAAGGAAAGGGACATTCCCAGCATGTGACAAAAAGAATCAAATTCTTGTCTTTCTAGTATAAAGCCAGTGCTGCTCCCGTCATCCTTTATAATCATCTCCCTGACTCCGGCGCTCTTATATATCTCTAAAACCCCAGCTAAATGCACCATCTCTCCAAAGTTCTCACTGACTGCCACAGGCTACAGGGATGGCGCCTTTCTCCAGACTCCCAATAGAACAGATTATCTTGCAGCCGTCTTTCAGTAGTTCATGTCTATGTCCTTGATTACACTCTCTTGGAATTGAAATAATGTCATAACTTGACTGTAAATTTTGTAACACCAAGTACAAATCTGACATATGGCAGTGATATTGACATAATATATGCTTTCAATAAATTGTTTATTGATCATATTTTCTAATAAAATATTTCATTAATGGTGACTTTTTGGAAATTAAAAATAATTATAACATAAAATATACATAAATATCTAATGTAAACTAATTATAGGAAATTTGTCATTCATAGTATATCACTTTCCCCATTATATACCAACAGTAAAATAAAGCATAAAACACAATATGCTTGCAATAAAGAATGACATAATGCACCGTTTATCTGATTAACAAACTTTCACTCTCACCAGGAAGTGCTAAAAATAGAGCAATTTTTCTATGCCATTTTTCCACCTCTGCAGATATGTAAAAAGCTCACAACTTTTGATGTAAAGCCTCAACATGTCATTTTATCTCAATATGTCATGTCATATGAATTTTTCTTACAGTTTAAAATTGCTGATTTTCCCACTTGTTTTCCAGAAAATGAATATTTTCAGATTATATAAAGTCACTTAAAATGATTGTTTATTCACTGAACATAAGAAATCATAAGAGATTCCCTTTTATATGTTGGCAGTACTGTTAAGAGAAAGTACAGTAATAACTCAGGTTAAATAACAGATACATAGAGAGGTGAAATAGGAATTACTTAAATATGGATTAAAATTTGTGAAAATGAGTATATACAAATATTTTATGACCAATGTTATAAATGTCTACATGTATGCAGCATTATTTTACTGTAGAGGGAGATAGAGATGTAACCTCCTTTTACATATGTAGACATAAATATCTTGAAAAAAGTATAAAATATTTGGAATAGACTTAACCCTAGAAAGATTATAATTAATTGGAATTTCTCTCGATACTTGTAGTCTTTTCTGCATTTTCCTCTTTTTATGAGGCTGCCTCTTCTAATGTTTAACACCTGTCTTGAGTACCCAGCTAATCTCTGGACTTCCTCACACAGCTTGTTTTAAGAAAGTCTTTTTAAAAAGTATTCCAATTTTCAAATTAATGAACTGTAGGGCAAGAGATTACCTTTCCAAAAATCTGCATACTTAATTAACTGGAAACACAAGGGTTGTATATTTCAGGCTAAACCATAGGAAACTTCTGCTTTTTGAGGTAAAAGTAGTTAAATATAGGTGATTTTATAAAGTTCAATCAATCATAAGGATAAGTTTTAGTCATTTGTCATAATCTAGCTAGAGACTCTGAAATTCATTTTGTCCTCTTAGCACTATGTAAAGAGTATTCAATTGTCCAGTAGATAAATAAGGAGCAGCGAATGCTAACAGTACTAACACTTCGACGGACTTACCCAAAATCTGCTACCAGAAAACACAGAATCTATTTTAACTTTAGCCTACATGTCAATTTATTACTGATTACATTTAAAATATATGGGGAGTGTACACCTGCAGTTTTTCAGTGTTTTGGTCCTCTTAAGGCTTCACCCAGCCCTAATTATAAAACCAGCCTTGTTTATAACTTTATAAAGCTTACAAAGCATCCTTACCTGCTTTGGATGTCTTTTCATCTTTTTTAGTTTCAGGTTCTGGGGTGGAGAATGACATATACATCCATGCCAACAAACAAACAAACAAGGGGGAAAAAAAGCATTCAATAAAAATAGTACTGAGTAGTTTAATAGGCAACTTTTACAGATTTTCCTTATATGTTCTCAACTTCAATTAGTTACACAGTTTTATCAATATATAATGGAACATGGATTATTGGCAAATTATAAAGTAACTTAAGCAAAAGAACTTTGATTTTAAAATCCAGTCTCCTAAAATAGTTGCATACTAATCAAGTAATTTGGCATCTTGTCTTTAATGAGAGTCTATTTCTTATGATTTATAAATCACCTAAGTATTTCAAATAGGAAAATTAATAAAAACTGCTCAGGAGAAAAGTGGTAATTTTTTTCTAATTTGATCAATTTAAGCTATTTTCTATTTTCAATTACATACGCTCAATTCATGGAGCTCCACCTGGTGGTTAATTTAATAATTTCAAACTGGTATAATTATTGTTTCTATTAATACTGCTGCTATTATTTGATAAAAAATTAAGCATAATATAAAAAATTAATAGAATGAAGTATTTTATCTCTTATTGTCCTAAGACAAAGGTTTTTATCTAGAAATTCTACATTTTAACTTATATCTTTATAGGATAAATATATAATTTTATAAGCTATATAGCTGATTCTTATGACACCATCCAACCAGTATAATATCTGACTATATTTCCATGTCTCCTAGTCCTTTCTCTTATTTAGCAACTTGCCTCGGCCTTATAGTTCTCATTTGACATAAAGAACTATATTTTGATTAATAAAAGTGTTCTGGTACATTACAGTTTTTCTTCCCTTCAGATAGCAGAAAATCTCATCTCATGGTTGGGATACTTACTGAGTCTAGACTGTGTGTCAGCGATAGTGCTACCTAGATTTATTGGGGTTTTAGCCCAATGGAATCTCATCTTTGGAGTTACAATAGAAACCACCTTAATTTGTGAACAGCAAAATTTTATGGAATAGAGAATTACATGGCCATTCTTACCGTCCTTCTTTTTTTATTGTACATTTTCTCCATTACCACTTTTCCCCTTATGCCGCCACCTAAGTGGCTTATTTCACTTAGCATAATGCTTCTTGTGTCCACACATGCTGTAGTAAAGAATAAAACTTCCTTCTTTTTTATAGCGGAGTAGTATTCCATTGTGTAAATGTCCATAGCTGTTTTATCCACTCATCTACTGATGGACACTTGAACTACTTCCATAACTTGGGAATTGTAAATCATGCTGCAATGAATAGAGAGGTGCTTATATCCTTTTCAATTAGTGTTTTGGGTTTCTAAAGAGAAATTCTCAGAAAAGGAATTGCTGGGTCATAAGGAGTTTCATTTTTAATTTTTTGAAGTAACTCCATACTGCTTTCCACAATGGCTGCACCAATCTGCATTCCTATCAACAATGCAAAAGAGTTCCACTTTTTCCACATTTTTGCCAGCACTTGTTATTTGTTGACTTATTGATGATAACCATTCTGAATGGTGTGAGGTGATATCTCATTGTGGTTTTAATTTACATTTCTCTGATGTTTAATGACATTGAACATGTTTTGATATGTCTATTGGCCATAATACTTCTTATAATCCCTGAATATATACCCTGTAAAAAAGTGATGTCAGTGCTATTATTGCACTTCACACTCGCTGGCACATACTTCTCTCTTTTTTTGTTAACACTTTCACTTCACTGAGTAGGACATCTGTTATTTTAACGTTTCTATGTGTTTTAATGTTATAGAAAATTTTATTTAAGTTTTAATTTAATTTTTATGTTCTGCATTCCCTCTTTAAAGTTCCATAAGGGCAAGAACTCTGTATTGCTCACTACTCAAACATTAACATTAGCTTAAATATCTGATATTAGTATATGATTACAAACCAATAATCATACCATTATTGGTATAAGATCCATAAAACATTGTTAGATGTATGAATAAAGAAAATGGTGAATATTAAAAAACCAAGTGCTCCTTTTTGTGTATCTGTAGTTTAGAAGAAATTGACTTATCTTGTGCATCTAGAGCTAGAGATAAAAGTCCAATGTCCTGGAATGGGTTTCATAAATATTTTGGTCATCAAGTAAAGGTAACTATTTGAAAGAGCCTTATTTCTCACTCTGCACATGACTCTTTCCCATTAAGCACATTGTCCTAATCTTGAAATGCACTTATCTTATTCTTAATGTTTGTGAAAAGATCTTTTGAAAAAAAAAGTTGTGGGGTACATTTTTATTAGCTATAAATTCAACACAGCCAGAACCAACACTTGTCTTATACACAGAGTTTTATAAGAACTCTTATAAACACACACTATCCAGCATGCATGTGGCTGTGGATCCCCTGAGTATGATAGAATTAGTGGCTTTAGGTGTTGTGTAAGCAACATTAACAAGATGACCTCACAAATTATAATTTGGGAAGTGTGAAAAGAAGACGTTCAGATCATATAATCTAGCATTAGAGCAAACTCGTTACGCTTTGTGATCATGGGCATTATGTAAAACCTCAAGTCTTAATTTTGTCATTGCCAAAATAACATTGCAAAATTTATGTGAGAATTGAAATTGATGTACGGAAGGCCTTAGTTATTTTTAAATTATGCTTTAAACTTGAAGTTCATGATCTCAAAAGGTAATTTTTTTCTTACAGAATTAAAACTTTACCCTTGAAGAAGCAAAACAAGAATTGATATGTGGGAAATTGTCAACAGATTTCTAAGGTAGATGGCATTTCTACTGAAGGTTAAGTCTAATTTAATTTTTGAGTCATGTAAGAATGAGTGCTCCTAGTCATATAAAAAATGACAGCTCTCTTTCTCCATATAATTTGACAACTAAAGGTATGTAAAATGTACATATGCCCACAAATACACACACACACACACACACACACGTATTCAAAGTTTAATCAACAGGCTTCATTGAGAAGTTTCAGGAAACTGAAAAGGTTGGCTAATGCTGGAGGCCAGAGAGAGGGAAAGAGACCTTTATATTTATTCCATCTTTATTACTGTTTTAATTTTTCACCATAATTATAATTGTTTAAAATATTTGGTTTAAACATTTGTCCCTTGAGCCCTTCGTTGTGGACTCTCCATACAGGCATTGCAGAAACTTGGGAAAAACAAGCCTCCTCTCTGAGTTGTTGAGGTAGTCTGCCTGACATGTGGTAAGCAGTGCTGACTTTTCTGGACTGTTGATTTTATCTGAAATGTAACTTGTTGATGGGCCTGGGGAGGGGAGCTTCATTCCTAATTTTTCAATGTCATCAACACTCTGTTACCAAGTAAAACAGGCTGGCCCAGACTTCAGCACACATGCGCATGAGTCTGAGGAGGGCTGGGGGAAGGTCAGCTTTGTTTATGAATCTGCCTGATCTTCATGCAAGGCAAAGAAAGAAATCTACTCACTTTATAAATTCCATTCTTTTTATTTATTCAAGTTATACATCTGTATTCTTTCCAAAATGTTTGTATTTTAAATACTTTGCAAGTTAGACACTGAATATCACTGATTTTTGCTTTTGTCACTTTATTTTATTATTATTATCAAATTTGTTCCTTCAGAATTTAGATGTCTTTTATTATAATAAAGGTTATTATTAGTATTGTAAGTAATGGCATTTTGCATTTGCTACATGGCACTCACTAAGCAAATGCATTATATACATTTATCTATGTTTTATTTAAAAGTACTAAACACTCATTTAGTTATTAGCTTTCTAACCTTATAGAATATAAAATTGTTGAGTTCTGAGGTGAATCTGTATTTTCTCTGCTATAAGATAGTGCCTAGATCCACGTTTTGCATAAAATAGCAATTGAAAAAAAATTTGCACAAATGGGCAAATTATTTTATGTAATCCTCACATACCACTCCTATGATGTAAAACTTTAATTACACCTACATCACAGATAATAATACTGAGGCTTAATAATTTGTCTAAACTCATACTCCCTAGTAAGTGGCAAAACTAGTATTTAAATATTGAGTTTTTTGAAAAATCCAAACCCTAAAATATTCCTAAGGAAGCTCCTTTAAGTACCATTGCTACAGATAGGATTAAAAGCTTTTAAGCATTTTGTTCATTTAAAACTATATATTAAGCTACATTCTATATCTTATACATCAGTTGTATTTACCCAGGTTATATTACTCAGACAAATTACTAAGTGTCATCAAGATTGTAATTGACATGTACAATAGGGACACTGAGATTTCTATTTATTTCAGCCAGTCATGAATCATATAAATTAATTTCCTAAATGAAGCTGGTTAAACTAAATCAATAGACTGAGCATTGATAGAAAATTGACAGCTGTGTCAAACACACATGTATATGTGCATTGTATATTATACTTAATCACATGTGAAGATTTCACACATAACAGCAGGTCACCAAACTTATTTTTGTAAACTACATGAAGGAACTTAGGCAGTGTGATCCCTAGTCAACTGCATGTGAGTTTTGATCTGGAAAGGAAGCCTGGACAACATGGCAGCTAAAGACACACATTATACTGCCAGGCATGAGTCCCAAATTCACCTCAGCTGGCTGTGTGACCTAGGCACATCACTTTCAGTACTTCAATGTTTACATAAGAAAAGAATTTCTGTAAAAATTAAGTGAAAGATTACATATGAATCACTTCAGAAGACTGTCAGATACAAAGCAAATGGTGCATGCTTTCCTCTATTAATATTTTAAATTATTTTTCTTATGCTTTTCATAATGTTAAATAAAATATATTTAAATAGAGCATACTTATATAAAACAAAGTTATATTTAATATAAAAGTGACATTCATAACTTTATTCTAAGCCCATGATTTGAATAATCATTTAAGTGTTTTGATAAAAATCTGCTGCTATTACCACACACATTTGCATTTATGCAATTTTATTGTGGTCCTCATTCTATCCCATAAAAAAATATGCAGCGCAAAACAAACACATTTTTATATTTTGTTTCCGCAT